TGCCACTTGAGAAACATGTCTTATTGTATTATCACCTATTTAAATATAAACAAATGACTATATGATGGGTCATTAACATATTTTATTGGAATTACTTGAACAGAATTCTTCCAATCAAACTACTCCACTCAACAATAATAAAAAGTTTGACAGTTACTTGAACATAGTTGACATTACAGCCTAAGGCATTTCTTCAATTTATTTATTTAAGAGTGGTTTTTCCCAACCAACTACTGTCTTAGATCAGACACACCTCATTAGTTTTGTTTGAATCCTCTTTCAAATTATCGTTTCTAACTATACGATTTTAGGTTGGATTACATAGTTTCAATATTAAAATTACGATTGTATTTTATAATTAAATATAAAATTCAACAAAATAACATACTTTCTGGAAAAGAAACTTTTATTGAACTAAACAAAAAAGGAATACTATGCCTAAAATTTACTCTATTTAGATATCTGATCTGATCATAATGTCATTTTTATTTTTTATACAAAGACGACACAAAATATATAAGCATCAAGTTAAATTAGATAATGTAAGAATTTGGAGAACCTAATACTAAGAATGTTAAATCTAAGTGTGTGTCTATTGAGTAGTCTTCCCTTTGTCTTTGTTTAAATTCTAATAAGCTAGGTTGAGTATTTACTTTATATAATTGTAATCATTCTAACATGATTGATATATTTTTATCTTATTTGATTGGTTGTATAAAGTAAATAAATGTATTTGTTTCACATCTCAATAATAAATAATCTATTTTATTAATTGTCCATCGACTCAAACTTGTGTGTAACTCATGTGATTTTTTATAAGGCATGATCGAACTTAAAGTGGATTCGATAGTGCTGAAAAAAAAAATAAGACTTCATAAATTTTAGACATTATGAAGCTTTAATTACAAGTTTAAATTACGTGAAATTTCTTTAGTATTTGTTTATTGCATGCTACCTTAAACATGCAATTAGAAGACCAACCAAATTTTGCCTTCATAGAAAATGATTCCACTCAAACCCGAATTGCTCTACAATTTATGTATCAAAATTGGCCAAAATAGATGAACTTGGCTCAAGGACAAATCAAACATTTTATAAGAAACTAGCTAATAATAGACCAACTAAAAATGGTTTTATGTCGCACTTTGTATCTCTTATCAAGTTTAGATGTCTTGATGCCTAATAGGCTCGGTTCACAATCTAAATTATTAAACACATATCATACCGTGAGCAACTCAGATGAAACTAAGCCTCAAGCATGTGAAACCTGGTGCTTTCATCAAAGCCAACTTTTAGTTATTTCTACGTGATTTATCATCTAGCTCATGTTGCATCATACGATCGATCATAGCACAAGTCAGTCCAATCGAGTGCCACAAGCTAACACACAATTAGTCAATTATTCAATGTATTTCATTCCAAGTCAATGATATCAAATCCTACCCAAACAAATACTAAACCAATTGACTATCACTTACTACAATCTAAACTAAACTCAATCTAATCAACTATTACTTGAGATAATTCAAGCCAACATCAATCCAAACATCTCATTTGCAAATTTGGATAACTTCTTTCAATTCATTCCTCCATTATAAAACCAAATTTCAGCAGAGCATTCTAGTTGAAATCAAATGTCTGTCCAACTTAATCATGGAACTCATGTTATTCAACATTCAACCGACACCCCATTCCAAATTATTATGAGCAAAAAAGTAACTATGCACATGTTCACATGCCATTCCCTTGAATTTTCAGTCCTAAATCCTGACATCATAATTCATATCTTCATTAATTACTTTACCTAAATATAACGCCAATTTAATGCAACCAAAATCCATTTTCATCCACCAATTTTTCCCAATTTTACTAATTTAATTATGTAAAAAAATTCACTAATAATCAAGTAATTAATCAGTTATATATGTAAGTTAAGAAAAAATAGCAACTTTTTTCTCTAACATGTTCTTTCCCATTTTATTCGCTCCCTAACATGGGAAATTGGCTCATTTAGCAACTAAACTTTACTCCATTATTATTATATAAACCTTGATTACAACTTGCTAAATTACAATCATTTCTAACCTCAAATTCATTAAAAAAACATTATTTTCCCAATTTTTTTTTTTTATAAAAAATCATAGAAATTCCACTATATATATACCAAATTTGATAATCAAATACCAATATCAAAACCATAAAGTAACACACATTATTCTCCTCTCAATTTCCTCAACCAATGGTAGCTAAGCTAATAATTGCTTACTTTTTCTTGGCAACATTATTAATATTATTTTCATTGCCTAAACAATGTTTAGGCTTAGAAAATAGAAGGCTTTTAACAACTTCTAAGGATACAATAAACCATTACTTAATACCACACAACATTGTTAGAGCAAGACTAGGCTTGCCACCCTTAAAATGGAGTGAACAACTAGCAAGCTACGCCCGGTGGTGGGCGCACCAACGGCAAGGCGATTGCGCTATGATACATTCGGGTTCCGATTACGGGGAAAATCTCTTTTGGGGGAGTACCGGGAGGCAATGGGGCGCCGAAGACGCGGTGGCGTATTGGGCGGGTGAGTATAGATTCTATAACTATTACACTAATACATGTGCTCAAGGGGAGGAATGCCTGCATTATACACAGATTATTTGGAAACAAAGTAAAAGAGTTGGTTGTGCTAAGGTTATTTGTTATAATGGGTATACTTTTATTGGTTGTAATTATGATCCTCATGGTAATATTCTAGGACAAAAACCTTTCTAATAGTTATATGTATGTATCATGAATTCATGATCCTCTGTAACAATGTATCTGTACTGTATTAGATGATTTAGATCCGCTCTGATCATGAGTCGTGGTGATGATGCTTGTAGTAAAGATGGGTAAAATCGATCAATCTTAGGGGCTATTCTTTGAATATACAACTCATCACCTTTGTAAAAGGTTGAGAATGTATGTTATTTGTATTTGTTTGAGATGGGTTTATTATCATCCCTGTCTATCCTTTACCATGTAAAAGGAGTTGTCTCAAGCATGAAAGTAAATTGTTACCTCAACTTTTGTCTATAATTGATAATTACTGAACATCCGTTATAAAATGACAATAAAATGTGCAAAAGTTACACTAAAACGCACAAAAGTTACCGTGACATATATAAGAGTTATTTATGCTTTATTGATAAATTTGACAAAAGTGACACTAAATTTGACAAAAGTGACACTAAATCTGACAAAAGTGTACCCGAGGTACAGTAAATTACTGAAAACCGGGTGTATACAAAAGTTTTCAATAGCGTTTTGTTTATGCAATATTTAAAGTTTCACAAATTAATTAACTATAATTTGTAACGACCTGATATGTTGAAAGTATATATATAAAGAGACAAGCTAATAAAATCTCACGTGACAAAATAATTCCGTGCGTATAAATCATAAGAAATAGATGATCAAGGGATGTTGGATGAATAACGTAACAGCTTGAATGTGCAATTAAAAAAGATTAGGGAAATAGAAGATTGTAGAAGCCTGTAGGAGTGTATGATGAATATATTGTACTAGCCTTCTTAGCATTTATCATTCTTCAATTTAAACTCTAAAGATTCATACAAATCTAAGGAAATCTTTGAGCATCAACTATCTTTTTTCTATTCAATGCTGTAAAAAATCTGCTTTTAAGTTCAAGCAACAGTAACAATTAGGCATTCTCACAGGGTAGGCAAATGGCGCTCATAAATACGAGCTTAATATTTGTGATGATTAACATAGGCCCGGTCCGCTAGCCCGGCCTAAAAATAGGGCGGGTTTGGCAAGTTTAAAAACACAATTTAGTTAAAAAGCCCAAACTTAGCCCAAAAAGCCCCCTTTTTTTTGTGGGTTTGGGCACGAAGAATTGTGTTAAGGCCCAGCCTGACCCAAATTTTGGTCACTTCTACGAATAGAGCTATTAAAACCACCACCTACTTCATAAATTTTTGGAATTTATAAACACTTAATAGGTATACATATAAAGAAAAAATACAGCATCAAGTATTAAGATGAGTCTAAAGTTGGATCTTGAATTTTCAAGACTCCATTCAAGACTTTGCTTCATAAATGCATAAATTTTCTTAAGTCTTGTTTTAAGACAATTTAAAAGTGATTGCTGATGTCATGTATAGTATTAAGACCTAGGGCTAATATTGCAAGGCTTCATAATACAACGACTATAATACGGAGTATTGGAGTAATTTAACTAATAAGGGCAGTGGGTTTTTGGCCTTTTGGTTTGTCAATTTTCAATTCTATTCCATGATTTCCATCTTACGTTTCCTTTTCAATAATTTTGTCCAAAAAATATCATATATGTTGAGTGCATATATAACAAGATTGGTTAGTTGAGAAATGAGCTAGTTTTTTAATAATTTTGCTTGAAAATTTTAATCACTTGTTATCTTAATTAACGCAATCCTTTCACTAGGTCACTTGTAATATATGTAAGTCTGTAAGCTGTAACTAACAGTCTAACACTTTAATTTATGCACGTTATACTTCCAAAAGGCTGGTTTCATATGCAAGCCTCCCTTTCTTTGGGGAAAAAATAGCCTACCTTCAAAGGTTTAAGCTTCATGTTTTTCGTGATATCAAGGTTATAGGATTAACCCCTGACGTTGCCTTATCTTTCTATATCGTCATTCTCAATGCTTTGACCTGTAAAGCTAAATTGAATTAACAACAGTGAAAGGTGTTACTTTAATAGGATATTCTTTACCCACAAATATTCATCAAGCTAAATTAATTAATCTATGAAATGTGTCAATTTAGTAGTAAATATTCATGTGTGATTTTAGTAGATTAATTTAAGTGTATAACTCCAAAATATTAGGTAACCTTTTAAAGTTTTTTATAAATAATCATATCTTATGTTGCCGATAAGACGTGGAATATAAACTACTCTGTACAAAAAGTGACAAACACTATGGAGTGGAGGTAGTTATTCTGAATATGTTGTATTGGTTAATTTGTTTTTTTTCCATATTAAACGGACATGTAATAATGTAGCTCAATCACATGCTAGTAAGATCGGTAATAACCTTAAATATATACTTCGTAAGTATATTGGTTCGTTTCCTCGAACCTTAATGGCTTATTAATTTTTTCGTAATAAAAATCTTGAATTTTATGGTTCACAAAACATCATCACAATTCACAAAGCACAGTAGTCTGTCTCTAAACAGTAAACAGTAAACAGTAAACACTACACTCCAACAGTTGAGCAAAGGTGTTTTGGACCCCACAATTCCCCGCCAATTTCATCAGCATTATCTTCTTCTCCAGATTCTCTCTATCTCTGTTTCTGTTTCTCCAAACTTCTTCAGATTCCGATTATGGGTAATGGGTTAGCTTCAATTTCATAAAATGCATTCTCAAATTTCCAAATTTCCAACCCATAAATTCATTTCAATTTCTACCCATTTCCCCTCTATTTCTTCCCAAAATGATTATCATTTTTATACCCATTTTTCTCCAATCTTCAATAATCTTTCTCCTAAAAAACCCCGCAAATCCAATCTCAAGCGTCTTACTTCTCGCATTGTTCAGTTAACTCGTCGCAGGCAACTCAATCAGGTTCTAATTTTTGTGAATTTCCCATTTTTTTTTTTTTTTCTGGTATAGATGTGAATTTTGAGTTGAAAGTTAAAGTGGGTTTTTTGTAATTTGACGTGGGTTTTTGGTAATTTTTGTGATTTGGGTTGTTTTTTGTGTAGGTTTTTGAAGAAATTGAGGTAGCGAAGAAAAGATATGGAGGGATTAATACAATTGTGATGAATGCAGTGTTAGAGGCTTGTGTTCATTGTGGTGACATTGATTCTGCACTTAAGGTGTTTGATGAAATGTCCAAGTCAAGGAGTTGCCGTGTTGATAGTGTCTCTTATGGTACTTTGTTGAAGGTATTGAATCTTACTTGCGTAGTTACTTCATATAATTTTATGGGCTGTTTTAGTTGCTTCATCAAGGTTGATCATTTCATGGTTGTATGTTGTATACCAATTGACCTATAAAGTAATTTCCTTTTATAGAATTAGTACTAATTATGACTTATGAGATGATCTTGTTAAGTAACTCTATGGTTCGAAGTTTAAGGATGGCGGCATGTAAATAAGCATGATACATGATACCAAATCATGGAATAATAATTGAAGTCGATTGATGGATAATCTACCTTAGTCTGCCTCTCATGCCATTTGATTGAAATCCATTCTCTTACCCTTGTTCCTGATTAAAGTGTGGTCAGCGAGATATTATAGGGAAAAAGCCCTTGACCCTATAATCCCATATGCATGTATACTTCATACAATTTGTAGTTACATTGTAAAGGGGTTAGGGTGCTTGAAGTCCTTCAAACGTACAGGTTAGGTAGTAGGAGTATTGTGTTGTTTGATGTCTAAACCATACATGCATGATGCATCCAATGGTTTTTTTGGAGGGAATCAAGGGGTCCCCCCTCCTTTTTTTGATGGGGAGGAGGGTGGTGGAAGTGGGAGATGAAGGTTTATGATGTGACTTTGTCACGACTCATGAGGTAGGCATAATTTGAAGCATATACCTTGATCGTGATTACATGTTAAGCCACGGCCCACAAGTCTGTATTAGGACTCCGACATGGGACCTAAGGTATCTGATATTTCAGTCTTGACCACTGGGCCGAAACTTCTTTGGTGAGTTTGGTCAATGCTGATATATACTACGTATATTTTTTGGAATTGACGTCTCTAGTGAACTGTGTGTCTTTACACACTTGTAGGAAGTTTTAAAAAATAAAACATGAAGAACCGTTATTTTAACTTTGATAAATGAACAATCTGAAATCCTGAATGTCCCAAACTTAAGCTATTGCTTAAATTTATATATTTGGTCCTTTGGGAAATATAATTAAATGATGGATTCATGGTTTTCAAGTGTTTGAGTTTTGGGGAAAATTTTCAATTAGATGTGAGACAGAGCTGATTTAAAGATCTGAAATATGATTGAGGGATTCCTTAACAAACCATTTGTATATAACTTATCAAGCATGGATTCCCTAAATAAATTTTGATGTAACTGAAGGGTTTGGGTAAGGCTCGACGAATTGATGAAGCATTTCAACTCCTTGAAGCAGTGGAGCGAGGTAGTGCCATTGGGAATCCAGAATTATCAGCATCACTTCTCCACGGTTTGCTTAATGCTCTTCTTGATGCAGGTAGTATTTCATGCACTAAATGATATTCAACTGTTCTTCCCTTTATTGCTCTTTTAAAATTCTTACCTGTTACCCCCAAAGTTGGCCTAGCGATGGTTGATGTACCTGTAGTTTTTTAATTTTTGTATGAGTTTTAGTCTTTAACTTTCTGTAATCCATAGACAGACTTATATACAAAATATTTTGTTACCGATTGAGACGAGATTATAAAGTTTTACTACACCAAGTATGAAGTCATTCAGTGTGATAGATATCTTCTGTGATCAGTGCTGGAGGCCTCAACCGCAGTCACTATTGCTGTGAAATCAACAAAAATATTACTTATACCCCTTAGCATAGAGGGGTTTTTTTTTTTTTTTTTTTTTTCCTTCCTTTTTTTTGCAAAGGTTTGGAAGGGTGGGTGCTGTCTTGTTTGGATGTTGCTGAAATTCACTGCTTTATATTTCTCTGACCATTTCAACTCTAAAATTCTCAAAGGTTAAAAATGCACTGTATGATTCCTCTTATGTAATTTTTTCTGTTATTAGAGCATAGTTAAAGTGGGGATACATTGAGAGTTTCAACCTACAGAGATATTACTTTGCTTGTTTTCTTCTTTTTGTGGAAACTTACTCATATTTGTAGGGAGATGTGACAATGTGAGTGGGTAACAATGGCAGCTGGTTTAATGGAGCACCATTAAATTTCTAAATTTATGTTTTACTCCGTCAACTCTTCCCAGTTGAACTTGAAAAAATGACATGCTATAAGTTTGAATTAAGAATTTCCTGGACAACGTTTTCATGTTCGCAATAGTTTATTGCAGGAGACTTACGCCGTGCCAATGGTCTTCTTGCACGCTATGGATTTGTGTTCCATGAAGGCGGGAGCCCTTCAATCTTGATATACAACTTGTTAATGAAGGTGTGATACTGAAATTATCTTCTTAATCAATAGGAATATATACATTTGCTTTATGTTCCTTCTTTTGTTTCTTTATTGTTTTAGCACTCTTTACTTTTTTCTATTTTAACTGGACAATGTCTCTGATATATACAAAGTACATATAATAGTCATAAACTTATTAATAAATTCCTGCCTTGGCAATAACCATCCCCTCTTATTTCAGGGATACATAAGTTCAGGCTCTCCCGAGGCTTCATTTACTGTACATGATGAGATGTTACGCCAAGGCTTAAAACCAGATAAGCTTACCTATAATATGCTTATCCTTGCTGCAGTGAAGACAGAAAAACTGGATTCTGCAATGCAGTATTTGGAGGAAATGAAGGTCTTAAGAAAGTGTTGAAAGGCCAGTTTAGAGCTTCAATATCATGCTGAGCCTGAGAGTATGCAACCAGTTACTCATATCTCCCCTCTTTTTCAGGATGCTGCACTGAAGTACAATTTCGATTATCTTTTTCCGGATAATGTAACATATACTACTCTATTGAAGGTCAGTGTACTTATCTTTTTATTTATTTATTTATTTAATTTTTTTTTTTTTATGCCAAGTATACTTACCTTATATAACCTTTTCTGGAAGTTCTCCATGCTGTCTAGACTGTAAGTGTTGTTTGTTCTAGTTTTGAATTGTATCTTTGCTACTTACAATTGTTGTTTACAGGGTGCTGCACTTGCTAAAGATATCCATCTGGTTCAGAAGATAATGCTGGAAATGCAAACTTCTGAAAAGTTTTCTACTGACCGAGTTGCCTATACTACACTTGTTGATGCTCTGCTAAGCTGCAGTTTAATCAATGGTATGACCTAAACCAAATTTGAAAAGTTCTGCTGATGCTAGGCTTATTGATAATACTTAAAAAAAACAGGGTTTGGTGACAAAACATTAGCTTCTGTTCAACAACTTTTAAGATCTAGAGTGCCAATTTATGTGATACTGGCATACTGCTAATTTTCCCTTGGTTGATGTAAATTCCAAATTTATAGTACTTTTTTACTGATCTAACATGCAACCTTTCGCTATTACTGTATATTGGGAAGTGAAATGTAGGGTAGGGAAGAGGCTAGACAATTTCTCCAATATGCACCTATAATTTTTACTAATTTTCTTCCCTTAAGATCAATATTTCATGTTGCTCAGAGCAAGCCCAGTTTGTGACCTTGCTGGAAATGGTATGAGATTTCTCAGAATTGCACTTTGAGTAAACATAATTGTTGGGATGATTGTTTCTTTATACAACTTTTTTTGATTTCAAAATGGATTACATCTGTTCATTGAACTTAGGTAAGAGTATTGCTTCAAGGGTAATGTAATAATGCTATTTAATAACTAGTTTCAGTTCTGGGCTTGTTGTAGTTACTAGAATGTATCAACCTATGCGCAATGGTCTCTTTCATCAATGCTCATTTTGCTAGAAGGCCTAGGATCCTATCCTACATATATCGTTAATGACATTGAGGCATGAAAGGATACTCCAATAATTTGATAGAAGTCTCTGAATGTTTTTCACTTACTTTGTGGTCTCTAATCTTAATCAAATATTGTTGATCCTCCCAAGCCCTGCAGTCATTAAGTCTGTACTGGGCTGTGGTAAGCATTGCTTGTGAATTGTATTCAGATTGTCTCATAAAGAGTGAAAACTGTAGGATCTAGGATCTGTTATAAATGGAGATATGGGACAGGAATGTGAGGAGCCAAGTAACTAAGATGGATAAATCCCTTGCCCCAAAGCTTAGAGGCTTATGATGCTATAATTGCTATACCTTAGCCACCGTCCAATTTCCTGTCATATTGGTTTTTGATAGTCTTATAGGGTTGGTTATTCTTTAGTCGTTGCCCTCGTTGGACCTTGTAAAGTTTTCCAACTATACTGTTTTCCAAATTCTGCCATGTGACCTTGGCTGAAATTTTTCAGTGGTCCCCTGAATTGGACTATTTCTCAAGCTTGAATCTGATAGAAACAGGAAAGTTGCTACAGCAAGACTCGTTAGACAATGACAGAGAGCTTGGTTGGTGAATAAAAAGCAATTGCAATGATTTCACCATGAATCCTTGTAGAATTTGAAATCATCACCTTCTGTTGTGATACGGAGTTAAATACATCTTCATTCTTTACCAGATTCATTGATTTTTTTTATTATTTATTTATTTATTTATTATTATTATTTTTTTCTGCATGGCTTGGGGTCGAGGGAGAGAAATCTTTTGTTTGCTGAGCAACTTTATGTTGTTCCTGCCTTCCTGGTTTTTGGGTTTCCTCCAATGTGGAGACATAGTTTCCTGTTGTAATATGCAATTAGTATGTGACAAGTAAACATCAATTGCTTTCTCAGATGCTCTATGTGTGTTCGGGAAGATATTAAAGAAGGCAGGAGAAAATTCAGAACTGCGGCCAAAGCCTCACCTTTATCTTTCCTTGATGTGTGCTTTGGCTCACATTGGTGATTTTTTTATGGTGAAGAACTTACACAATCGCATGTGGCTGGATACCTCAGGAACCATCACTCCTGCATCTCAGGAAGCAGCTGATCACCTTCTAATGGAAGCTGCTTTGAATGCTGGCCAGGTTCTTATGCCCTGTTACTGATCTAGAGTATTTGTTTTGCTCTTACTGAGAAGAAAGTTCCCATGCGTAGAGTTTCTATCCTTTTTTACCATCCTACAAATAGTTGTTTACTCTGCTACTGTTTTTTTGTATCTTGCCAGGTTGAAGTTGCTGTTCAGATACTTTCAAATGTTAATGCTAGATGGAAAGGGCTATCTTGGACAAGTCCTGGTGGCCTGGTGAGTATTACTAACATTATATTTCTTTTGTACTAATTCAATCACCCAACCCTATATAGATAAACAGGGTTTTTTTACTAAAGAGGGATTGCCTAGGGGGCGGGGTGTATCAGTTAAATTTTTGGGCAACCATGTCTGGGATGAATCATTTCCTGCATTTTATTAGTACCTCGACTAGTGTGTGGCCATTGGCCTAACATTTGGAGGTCATATTATTGACTTTGGCTTATATATTTTGTTGATCATTATCCAAAGTATATATTTATCTGTTTGAAACCATACAGTTGCCAAGTTATTTGCTAACAAATTTATGATGTCTTGCAATCAATATCTAGTTGAAATTACCATATAGCATAAGAATAATTGATGAAATTAGTGCATGATTCATCTGTTTATTCTTAGTTACAACATTTCAACTTTCACTATTCACACACCTTGGTTTGATTGTCTTTGATGATTAATCAAAGTTATTAATGCTTGAAGTTATGCATTGACTATCGTGAAATTAGAAACGTTGCAATGAAAAATAAACAGAGGATGTAATTAACACTCACCTAGCATAGCGATATAAAGCTGATATGGTGAGACTTCTTATTTAGGTCTTGTTGGCCAGATCCCATGTTCAATTCCTACTATAAGAACGTTTTATTGTCTGTTGTAGCACATGTCTCTTGCTGAGTGAATGACATGGAAAATTTCAAGTGAATGAGGGGGTTCCAAATGGCATGCATATATTGTTCAGAAACAAATATTATATATATAGATTAATATTTCACATCATAATTCCTATTTTCTTTCTGTAGAAACTGTTAAACTAAATATAATTAGAAGTCTCAATTTGTTGCTATTACTTTTCTTATTTTCTAGTTATGTTGATATGTCTATGGAAATGCAGGCAGCTTTACGCCTTGAGGCTTTGTTGGGCTTTGACCGGTCCATATTTTATCCCTATATTCTGCCCCAGGTATGTTGTGCTTCTCTGCTTTACACATTCTTGGGAGTTGGGAATCTTGGGATTACTAGATTTGGGTATTTGACTCAGCCTTCTGCATTATTGATTTTTTTTATGAAATAGAATAGTATTTCTTATAGTCTAATATGATTGCTATGATTTTTTTTTTTGTTCCTCTTCATTGCTGATCGTAGGTATTATTTATACAAGCTATTTATGATACTGGCTGTTTAATACTCTAGAACTGTCTTAAGAGTCAGTGGTCATAATGATATGACACGGAAACATTATTATATATTTACATATTCAAATGAAGAAACTTGTACTTTTTTGTTTGTAGAAACATATGATTTGTACCAAGTATAAAATTAAGGAGAAGCTCTACAGACCCAATACATAAATTTAGGAGATTGTACACTTTTTTGACTAGCTCCTCATATCCATATTTCTGTATGATCACTTGCCACGCCTATAGAAGACAGCTGCCACGAAGTATCAACATTCATTTTAACAACTCAGCCAAATCCTTAACTTGAACTTGAAGAGACTAGAATTTATTTACTGATTTGTCATCTTTAACTTGTGTAGGTTTTCTGTTTTTTTTTTTTTTTTTTAATTGCTTTTGTTTCTACTGGTTAATGGCATAGATTTAGTTGTGTTTGCTGTACCTTTTGATTGGTGATGCCCTTGGTCACCTAAATGGATGATGAACATGAATGATTGTGATAGTTCACCGTTCCTGTACATCAATGCCGGTAGCTAACTCACTTGTGCTTCATGTATTTGAACTTTTTCTGCTAATAGGTATCAGTAGATGATACAGTGGAAAGCATCATGATTCCATTTGAAGAAGCTCGTCCTCTACAAGCTACCTTAATGCTTAAGGAAGTGACCATGCGTTTTCTGGAGGAATCAGTTGTGCCCATCATAGATGATTGGGGCAATTGTGTGGGACTACTGCACCGCGAAGACTGTACAGATGTATGTTTTTTTGTGTGAAAAACTTTCACTGATTTGCCTATCTGCTTATGCTCATCCATTCTAATCATATTTACTTTTGGGTTGGGTCATCCAGTTTCGGGTACAATTGGGTTTAGGTCAGGTAACTCAGGTTGCTTTGTGACCTCTCAAGTACTCTGTATGAAAGAGTGAAAGACTTAGATATGATGTTGTCCTAAAATGCTTTATTAGCCTTGAGTCACTTGCTCTGAACCTGTCTACTGGGAAGTCTACAGATAGTATTCATATAGTGTGGATGTGTGGTTCTGTGCTACTTTCAGAGTTCGGCATTGTTAATTTTGATTTGTGCGTTTGATATGATGGTGCAGCTAAATAAACCACTATCAGCAATGATGAAGAGCCCTCCTCCTTATGTGGCAGCCTCAACCTCCGCTGGCCGTGTGATCAACCAAATATTGGAGAAACGGTACAAGATGGTGATAGTTGTAACATATAGCAACATGTACAGTTCTTCCGGCTCTAGGCCTGTTGGAGTGTTTACTTCTGAGCAATTACACAAGCTTATTGATAATAAGCCTGCTTCAAAATTGTCAGGACAAAATTCTTCACTATATGTAAGACCTTCATAAACTCATAATATACCTCACTTTCCTGTAACATTTTGCAATCATCTACATAACTAGTAGTTCAAACTAAATAATTTTAGGAATCATTGGCATAAAACAAAAGGTTTACCTACATTGGTTACATATAGTAATAACATTTCAACGTGGTCTAATTTTATAATTAAAGGGTGATGAAAAGAACAAATTAAGATTTTTTTTTTTAAACAGAAATCGGACTAGTTTGATGTATGATTTTCAGCAAAATCTAACAAGCAATAACTTATTGTGAAAGGAGGTTTTTTTTTCCTTTTTTTTCCCGTCCTTTTTTCTAGGATGAAATGCCAATGCATACAATAACACTTGATATTTAACCTTTTTAATAATAAAGAAGCAAGTAATTTTTTCTTTCCAAAAAAAAAAAAAAAAAAAAAAAAGGGATGACTTGGATATTTGATTCTTACAAACATAACCAAAGTATGAGAATGTCTTGCATGGTTGTCCATATGTCTTATTTTGCGTACATCTCGTTCAATCAAAATCTTAAGCAAAAAATGAAAGTTATTGAAAGAAAGAAGGAAAGAAAGAGGGGAAAGTAGCCTAAAAGGTAGTAAAATATGTTGTTATCCAAACAATCTTGGCGGTGTTAGCCATTAGTTTTTGAGCTAATTTTAGTCGATCAATATCACCATGATGTATTGATTTTCTTAACGGCTAAGGTATATCATACTACTATGTATCATTCATTCTGTTTACCCTTTTTTTTTTTTTTTTTTTGGGGGAATTTTATCGTTAATTAATTGTCACGTTGTTTGAACCACTAATTTTAAGAATACAATATGTTAATCAAATTTTTTAAAGTCGATAGAGTGTAATTTATTCAATTGCCATATTTTGTGAAAACTAATCACAAAATTTTCAAATATTCTAGAAGTATATGAAATTACGAGTATTATCTGTTTACATACACAACAAGAAAAGCATTTGTATTATCTTATTATTCTTATCTAGAAGTAATTTACAACTTAAGACCCTAAATAACACGTCGCATTACAAATAAGTCCGTCTCAAACTATATTGTGTCACTCCCACAGTTTAGTTACTTAATCTCTAAACCTTTTCACTTCAATTCCTTACAATTAAACCCTCATCATATGTAAGATTGGTTACACATATTGTAGTTTTACCAAACAATCAAACAGTAATTTCGCAAATCAAGGAAAAAAAATGAAAGATTTTGCATTGAGATTAAGATTGAAACTTACAAGGCTCTCAATATAAAGAAAATGTGGCAACCCTTTATTTATTTCTTAACGTTCACTTTAATAATCAGTTACACATAAATCCCTCTTCAATCTAAGTACAACTTATCTCATTATTTTATCAAAGAATTTTCAACACGCTTCTCTCATTTAAACCGAGTAACTTCTCTCACAAACTTTTTCTCTTTCTTATTTATGTAGTAATCCTATATATATTCCATCACTTCTTAGCTTGTACACAAATAATTCCTTTACAAAAAATGACTCATAACAATGCTACCAAGAAATTGTCTTTGCTAAACAAGCTAAGAAGGGCTGTTAAGAAGCTTAATGTTATCTTAAGTTCGACGTTTAAGTATAGCCAATGGAGCTTGATCTCGATCCTACGAGCTCCATCGAGTGCTAGAAGACGTTACACACGTCATTTGAGCTTTAATGATGAGTTGGGAATATACAATGGATGTTCTGAAGATGTGTTATTCAATGGAGAAAGCAATGGTTGTGATAATAGACGCGATTTGTGTTCGTTTAGAAGTTTTGGAAGGATGAGTTATAATAATAATTATGGTACTGAAGATATTGATAGAAGGGCTGATTTGTTTATTGAGAATTTTCATCGTCAACTTCGGATGGAAAGACAGATTTCTTTGGAGCTTAGATATTGTAATAATAATGACAATGTTAGTAATTTGGAGAATAGTGTTACAAACTCTAGGATATGAATTTTTGAATTTTTTTTTTCCCCTGAATTTTATGAGAAAATACAGTATTAGATTATGCCTATAAATAATGTTATATTAGTAAATGGATCTATATAAATATATGTATGAATGTATGATGTATTATCTGTTTTCACCTTATGATCTTTTGTCATTTTTTTTATGTCATCCTTATATTTTACCCTGTGTTGATACATGCCTTAAAATTTTGTTTTCCGCTGTATGTAAACATAGCTAACACATTGTTGGTGAACCACGTGTATATGTTTTCTGTTTCTTCATTGTTTCTTGCATTCGATTTTTCTCTTTGTTTCTTCCCTGATCCCGTTGTTTAAATAATTTTGTTATTTGTCTTGTAAATATATCATAACTTCATCCCTATACTTTTAAGCTGAAATTGCTAATTAATTTCAAAGGAGGAGTTAAATCTGAGTCAAGGAGTTGCATAATCACAAAAATGTTTCATTTCAACTGATCATAATTCAAACAATACATCGATACAAAGACTAGTAAAAATTTCTGGACTCTTCACTATATATGAATTTCTAAGTTGTTTTCGCCTTTCCTTGAAATAATCTATGAAAAGTTTTTTTTTTTTTTTTTAACAAAACCCAAGATGAAAAGAACAAAAATTGAAATTAAAAGGAAGACATTGTACAAAAGCAAAGCAAACTGTTTCCCAATTAATTCCAACCTCAAAGAACAGCTGGTCTAATCCAGTAAAAGAAAAACAATAAAAGGGAAAATGTAATAGACAAATTAATTAATGAATAAAACCAATTCTCTTCTTCTCACCCCGAGCAACTCGAAATCGACTCCAATGTATAAGTAGGATGATGATCAGCCCTTTTTAGTGTCTTGCAAAGAAATGACAGTCTCAAATGCACCAGCTAAGGCCAAAACCTTGTTCGGCCTCTTTGAGCCGCTGGTTCCCATAAGCTTAGATGCAGTCTCTTCAATCACATCATTATAATCTTGCTTTTCTTTCTTTTCGGCTGCTGCAGCCTGTTTTTTCACAGGTGCAGCAGCAGTGTCTGCAGGCGGACTGCTGACAGCTTCCTCAACCGGCTTCTCATCCTTTGCTTCTGTTTTTTCCTCTTCCTCTTTCTTTTCGGCTTCTGGCTCCTTTGGTTCCTCTACTTCTTCCTTCTTTGTTTCTTCCACTTTTATTTCAAGGGGATCCACTTCTAGTACCTTAATGTCAGAGTCATCTTCGTAATCCTCTGCATCCTCTGCCAGATTCTGTTCTTCTGCAGGCTCAACCTTTGGCTGATTATCAACTGATACTTCTTCGACAGTCTGATTCTGATCTTCGGATTTTTCACTCTCCTGTTCTGCTGCAGCTTCCTCCAAGACCGCTGCAGGCTCCTCCGTTACCTGTTCAACAACTGTCAATTTATCCTCATGATGAGGCTGATGATCTTCCTCTACAATGCTTTCCTTTGGATCCTCTTCAACATGTTCGAGTTCCTTCATCTCTACATCAGTAGGGTCAGCAAGCTCACTATTGCTGTCAGGCATCTCTGACATCTCAGGAAGAGACTGAACCTCACTGTCATCAATGTTCACAAACTCATCCTCAATAACCAAACGATCAACTGATCGACTCTCACAGTCTACACTTGATTCAGAAGTCACACTTCTAGGAGGCTTCTTAGTAGAAGAGGAAGATGATGATGTAGGCTCCCTTTTGGTACTTGGTGATGACAATGTACTCTTTTTGATACTCCAAGACTTAGTCATCTGAGGTCCTACCTTCCTATCCTTCAAACTCGAGGCCCTAGCATAGCTTTTCTCTGAGGATGACTTTGTAGAGGAGGAAGAGGACTCAGAAGGAGTGACTGTTTTATTCGAGAAGGAAGTTGATCGTTGAGGCTTAATGTCACGAGTCCCTGCAGGAGGACCGCAAATGGCCTTACTGACTTGGGATGCAGGTGGGGGGCGCTCAAAGGACCTCCTCCTATTGAGAGCCGGTTTTTGGGCAGAGGCCTCTGTGCTCGATTTCTTAGGAATCCTCGAGAAGTCAAGACTCGAGCTCATGGTAGGTTTGAGATAGTTAGGGACAGGTTTGCTGGTGTCTGAAGTTGAACTGGTTTTTTCATCATTAGGATTAGATGATGAAGGTTTAGGAGATTTCTTGATAACAGAACTTGAAGGAGATGTTCCTCTCTTTATTTCCTTTCCTCCACCACCACTTCCCCTTAATGTTGCCATGAATTTTCTCTTTTAATTATCAAATTCAAACTCAACCTGCATATATATAGTAGCTTAATTTATTTTGTAAGAAATGTTTTATAAAAGAAGAAGAATTATCAGTATAATAAACCAGGTTAAATATATTAATGAAGGTAAATGCAGAAATTTGGAGAATAAGGCAGACATGATCAACATTGACATTCATTTTTCTCCTGAAAGAATATATATATATATATATATATATATATATATATATATATATATATATATATATATATATATATATATATATATATATATATATATATATATATATATATATATATATATATATATATATATATATATATATATACACACACATGGTTACCACTACTATGCTTTTTGACCAATTATAAATTAACAATCAAGTTCTTAAAAATCATTTTTTGTGATTTTCAAATGTTGGTTGTTAGTTGTTGTATGATGACCAATTATGCATAATCATGCTTCACACCTACAAACAGAACTATAAATTTAAAATGGTATATATTCAATGGGCTATGTAATCTTCCTTTTGTCCTGAGAGTATAGGTTGCACACTTGCACGCCTAGTCGCTTGCACATAATTATTTTCGAGCATGTATTATGCAATTGGGTGTACCTCGCTCTAGCTTTCTAAGTGTATTCCCTCACATTTATTTACTCACATATCATTCAAGAACTCAAGACTTTTTTTTTTTTTTAAATTTAAATTAGAGAAACTGCACCTAGCTTATTCCCAAATGTATATAATAATTTTATGACTTTTATGGTAAAATCTTGCTATCTTGAACCATGTCTATATAAATACGTACTAATAACTTTGTCTGAAGCTCCCGACCTAATAACTAATGTGAGAGCTTAAACTCTTACGTTATATAGCTCATATGTATAATTTTTTGAAACTCACAAGTAAAGACGAGGAAATTAATAGGAAAATCTTTTAATACAATGAATGAAATCCTACACACTAATGATCAATTCATACTATAAACTCAGTATATTTCTTTATAAGGAAAACACTTATTGGCATTATTGCACTAAAACAATTGTTTAAGTACATACAAATAACAATCATGTATCAAGAATTCAAGACATTGGGGAGACTTTTCTTTTTCTAGAGACACCAATTTTCTTTTAATGTCATTGTAATTTATTGTGATTTGTTATTAGTCCATTTTCTTAAATGGCACAAACATCCATCATAACATTTTCTGATACCATATAAAGAAACAAATCGGTTAGCAAAATTTTGTTTTCATTGCAAAAATTGCACCTTTATAATTGAAATGATATTGCATCACTTTTTATGGAATGATGAAATTGGTGCATTTTTAATATAGTATATATTATAGTGAAAGAAAAATCTAAAAAAGAGTAATCAATTTGTCAAAGTCAAAAAAGAGGAATAAGTCATGCACAAAGATATGATCCTGTTTCAGCATTGGTCTTTTGGTATGGAGGAAAAAAAAAAAGTAACAAAATCAATGGAATTTAGGCCATACAATTGATACATAGTTGTTACATTTTAACATAAAATTCAACATTTAATTGTAAAATGTTTTTTTTTTAATAAAAATAAAAATTGTTCCATAAAATAAAGAGATTAATGATCATTGTATCATTTGGATGTTATTAAGAAATGTTATTCAAACAACAACCTTATTCATCAAAACATATCACAACAAAACGTAATCTTCTTTAAAGGATAATATTAAAACAATGCAAAATTTGCAACATACTAAAAAGAGCTAGATCCTCCTTGGTAGGCCTAATTCTCAAAAAATGGAAGAATAATGTGCCTGAGGAGATGAAGTAGGAGGTTAGGGGATAAATTTTTTATTTCATACGACGTAACAGAGTTTTAAGACATGAATGCAATGAACAAATGGATAATAAAAAGGTGTTGCGAAATATAAGTACCTCTTATCTCAAAAATTCCTTGGTTTTGCTGAGATCAACAAGATAATGAAGCTCTAAATCTCCATCGATGAAAAGAATAACAAAAATAAGAGATGTATAGAGAAATGAGAAATATATGAAGCCAAACAAGAAAGGTGGGAGAGGTGATTGAAAACAAAGAAAGAAAGAGGGATCAGAGAAAGAATATTTGCTGTCTTTTGATTAATTAATACCTTAAATGTTGTAGTAAATATTATAATTAAAATAAATCTAATTCTTAAAAAAGTAGTGAAAATAGGTGGGGAGCAAAATACGCATTAGGTTATCAACCAATAATATCTTGCCACCTAGGATAGGAAGAGGCGTTGACCTTTTCAACTGTATTTGAATTTTTTTTTTTTTTATTTGGATAGAATTTAATTAATTGGTTGTTTCTGGTGTGTTGAATTGTTGTGTTGATAGTTGATTTTTATTTATAATAAAAATTACGTAGGCCTTAAAAGTTAACTCCGTCTAATTCAATGGGCTATACATTTTGCAATGAGAAAGGTAAGGAAATTCACCGTTAAAGTGCTTCTAATGAAAAATGAACTCAGATTGGAAAGTAAAAATTCTTACAACAAATAGGTCGTGTTTGGTAATGAGTTTTTTAGAGAGCTTTCAACTTACTGAAGTCTATTAAAGGTTTGATCAATTAATAAACTAATTTGAGTGTTAGGTCAATTACTTACTGAAAATGTCTTTTGGACTCAAAAGGCTCTTTTTGAAAAATATAAAAATAAAAACAAAAGATAATAAAAAGCTTTTTTAATTAGCTTATTTAATACATAGTATTTAGCTTTTTAGCTATTACATACACTGAAAGAATTACAAGTAATAATTAACGGTTATTTACCAAACACTTTTACACAACCAGCTAATCACAGCTAGCTACACAAACCAACTAGTACAACAAGCTAACCAAATCAGTTAATATAATCATCTATTAACTAATTATTACGAGAATGGTTTATGTAAGACCGGACTCACCGTGAGTCCAATATGTTTGACAATAAATATTCTAATATATGACATTAATAATCTTATATTCTAATACACGACAATAATATTCTAAATCTTATAGAAGTAATAATATCTGACATTAATATTTTTAGTGGCTTATTCATTTAATGGTGTTTTGCAAGAATTTCAATGCTTGTACTCAACTTAAAAGTACAAACCGGCCGAAGCTCCGATGGATGTCTCCCTCATAGCTTGTAAAGATCAATCATTCGATTACGTCACCAATTCCCTGAAAGTTTCAAGGTTTTTTAAACAAGCTGCTTGTGTTGAATCTGCTAGTGGTCGGCCTGGACAGTATATGCCGTCGCTTCTTTAGCTGGTGTTGAATCTGTATTTGTGTAGGCAGACTCACGATGAGTTCGTTCTACCCAATTTTTTTCGAATTATTAAACAATTTCATAGAATAGAATGAGCTCTATTTACACTCTCAAAGCTTGGTCACATTAGCAAGCATACCAAATTTTAATGTTTATGTACGTTTTGGGGCCAAATAGGTAATTATCAAAAAAAATGAAACAACATTACAAGTAGAGATGGCAATGGATAGGATTCGGATCAGGTGGAGCTTCACCCACATCCATCCATTGTTCTAATCGCTTCCATCTGTCACCCGCTTCACCCATCATCCATATATGTTCTTCCATCATCTACGGATAAAACAGGTAAAGCGGATGACTAATGGATGAGTATTAAAGTGAAGAAAAAAAACACTCACATAAACTCTAGTTTTTGGTTATATATACAATAATTTTTTAAATTTTATTAATAAAAAAAAGGGGGTGTAATATACCGCCATCTAAAATGATCAAAACCGCCAACATTTAGTTTGAATGGACAACCATACCCTTAGTACTTCACAACTATCTTCCCTCTTGCCACCAATCACTAACACCTTGACACCTCCACCCCAATTGACGACTAACACCACCACCACATTGACCGGCGACGATGACGACCACCATCCTCACCGGCGTTGACCACCACCACTACCCTGATCAGCGACCCACCACATCCCCCTTAAAGACAACCCACCACCTTCCCTCTTTGGCGAAAAGGTGGTGGTTTTTTTTTTTCTGGCAACCGTACCAACCGGAGCCTAAACCGGTTACCAGGCACGATAACCGGTTTTGGGCTCCAGTTACCATGGAATCGGTTAAGGTGCACGGTAACCGGAGCCCAAAATCGGTTACCGTGCCTGGTAACTTAAGCCCAAAATCGGTTACCGTGCGCGATAACCGTAGCCCAAAACCGGTTACCATGCACGGTAATCGATTTTAGGCTTCGATTACCGCGCATGATAATCAATTTTGGGCTCTGGTTATCGCGCTTGTCTTAAATAAAAAAATATATTAAACCATCATCTTCCCGCCGGCGAGGGGAGGTGGTGGGTCGTCACAGAGGAGGGTTTGGTGGGTCGCCGGTAAGGGAGGTAGTGGTCATCGATCACCGATCAGAAGGGGTTGTGGGTCGTCGGGAGGATAAGGGATGATGAAGTAGTAAAGCCAGGGTCGATTGTCCATTCACACCAAATGTTGGCGGTGGTGATCAATTTTGTTGGCAGTGTTTAAAAAAAATTAATTTTCTTGGACATTTCATATTTTATTATTAAAATTCTTAGATTTAAAATTTAATATATGTTAAACAGGTGGGCGAATGGTTAGCGGGTGAAAAAAGTATCATCCACATCCGATCAGATCCATCACCCGTTTCATCCGTCACCCGCTTCATCTATTTAATTCAAATTTTCGTCCATTTATTTAAAGCAGGTATAGCGGCTTAGCGAATATTCACTTAATATTAATTACCATTTCTAATTACAAGTTTTCAACTGTTTTATACAGAGAATTAACAAATTTAAATTAAGTTGAAAATACAGTTAACTTATTTTATGACTTTTTCATACTTGTGCTAGGGCATGGCATCACTTCTTAGTTAGCCTAAGTTTGTGTATAAGATACATTTAAGGGGGGGTGTCAGTGGCGGATCAAGAATTTCTGAGGTGTTGATTCATCATCAATTAATGATCGCTTGTGAAAGTACAATTTTTTTCATTATTAATTTCAATCCAAAAATTATATTTAAAAACAATGGTATTTTACCAAATTGATTTAAATCCAAAAAAAAGGACACAAAAATCCATACTACAACCAGATAATACTTAAAAATTCAATCTTACAAGTGTAAAGTACTACAAATAACATGTAACCAAAGTTATCAGAATTGGGATTCTACTTTGAATCGGTGAGTGGGGTAGAATTGAATCGGTAAAATCGAATCGTAGAATCGTACGATTCTACCAAAAATGTAAAATTGGGCTTCAAAATGTAACAAATGACTACATACATAATTTTATAGCAATGAGAATGATAATAATATATATTGTTAATAACATAATATTAACATACAAACATAAAACAGTTTTTCAAGTAATTTCGCACGCGCATAACTCAAACAATACACTATAAACTATAAAGTCGGATTATTGGTACACATTCTTAACCATGAGAGTACACGACAATTGTTGTTAAATTATGAAAAAAATAATGTTGTTGACTCGTAAAGTTGTTTTCCCGAGACCCATGCATGATAAAAAAAAAATCCAATAAAGATATAAAACTAAGTGTCAAATTAGTTCATTTAACGAGATAGCTAAAGAATGACAACTACAACAAACTCATGTTATAAAAGTGTTTTTTATATGACCAAAGTTGAGTGCATGAGACTCATGAATACATTCTTATGCCCATAAAATTTAAATGGTTGGATAGAATCTTAAAAGTTATTTAAATTGATGTTTCATAAGCTTTATTATGATTTAGATTGAATAATATGTAAGTCAATGACTAAATTAAAGTTAGGTTCAATCATGACACCCTTACACTCTTTACTTTATAACATAAAATCTATAAATGATATAGGTACGAAACCAATTCTATCAGAAAGCAGACTTTAAGAGCTTTCCAATGATATATTATAAGCCTAATTCCGACTCTAGAATCAAAAGTTATGGGTTCCAAAAATCAGGTTTTTTGCAGGAGTAGAATCGGTATAGAATCGTAGAATCGGTACCGATTCCACCGATTCTAACCGATTCTACCGATTCTATGAGCGATTCTACAACATAATGATTCTACCAGCGATTTACATCTTTTAGGTGGATTAGGATCGTAGAATCGTACGATTCTACGATCTGAATTGTACGATTCTACGATCTGAATCGCAATTTTAATAACATTGCATGTAACAAACAAATGGCGCTATAAAACTATTACATTTTAACTTTATGATTTTTTAATTAATTGATAAGCTTTGGGGGAATATATTAAAATTGGTTACACACATATTGGATATAAATAGAAGCAAAAAAATATTAAAAAAAAATAAAATAAGTGAGATAACTTAAGAGACAAGTTCTTAAATATAACTGGTCTCTTTACTTATAAAAGAAAGCAGCGCAAAACTCATGAAATGCAATAAAAGCATCAAAGAGACTGATTATCTATAATAACGGGTCTCATTGAAAAAAAAAACTAAAACAAACTAAACATCAATTTTTTTTTGCTTTTTTTAATTTAACGAGTGATGAGTCACGTGCACTACTGTGCACATGAATAAGTCCGCCTCCCAGGATGTTCAAGCGGAATAGAAGGATGGATTATCTTTATCGTATGATTAATATTAGTTTTATAGGCATAAGCCAACAAGGGTAGATACATGAAATTGATTGAATAATAGTGTAAATTAATTTCAACTTAAGATATTTTCAAGGTTTACAAACATCATAATTTGTGTATAGTATTTCACAAGAGGATGTTTCAGTTTATCATCATGATAAATGAAATCGTTTATCAAGTGGTATTTGTATAAATAAATGAACAAAAAAATCCTAGTTGACATGACATATTTGCAAATAAATCAAGAGTCCCACATTTAACAAAGTTGTTGATTTATTTACGAAAATGACATTGGATAAACGGTTTTTTTTAATCATGATGATAATCTTGTATATTTCTGATTTTCAAAACCTTTTATATACACTCGGATATATATATCAAGTGTATATAAAAATTTTGACAGATTTTTAAATAAAATTTGTTTATATGCACATGACTAAGGACCTGTTCACATTTACTTCAGCTTAGTTCAGTTTAATTCAACTCCAATCAGTTCAGTTCAGTTCAGCTCCTAATTTTCTTCTCTCATAAAATATTCAGTCAGTTCAATTCAGTTCAGTTCAGTTCGGTTCAACTCAGTTCAGTAAATGTGAACAGGCTCTAACTAGATATGTCTAGGAATTTTATATGCTCTTAAAGTCATAAATAATAACAATAAGAAGTGTGGGTTCATATATATACACACACACGCCTAAGACACTAGAATTACTCATACCAATATCATTTCTTATTTCTTTGGGAAATTTGTTAGAAGTAACCTTTTAAATGCCTCATTTTGCAAAAAAAAAAAAAAAAAAAAAAAAAAAAAACCTTTTAAACGATTCTTTGCCAAAAAAAACACCACGATCACTTTTTTTATTTAATGAAACCTAACCCCTCTTTTTCGGCATTGACTCCAACTTTCAAGCATTGACTCAAGATTTTCCCTACTTGCAGGCCCTGTTAAGCGTTTTTCCCTCTTTTGTTTTTGCTCCATAATTTTCCCTCTATAATATCCCCAAATCAATCCAACGAAAAATCAGGGCAAATCATTCCAACGAAAAATTAGTGCAAATCTCCCCTAAATCATACTTCCTCTGTTCTTTTTTACTTGACCTATTTCTTTTATCACGCTTACCAATGTAAAACTTTAGCGATCAATATAATAACTTTAGTTCTCCATAAGTAAAAA